GCTTGATCATTTCGGCTTTTAAAACTTGTGCATACTTCACGAAGTTCTCGTGTTGTGTTTTTCAGCTCCATTAATTCACTTATATTCCTCTCGAAATTGTCTATTCTCATTAGCATCAGCAAGTGGATGATAAGAAACTTCTGTGAGCTAAAAGAACTTGTTCTAACCCAATGAAAAGAAACTAAGAACTTTGAAAAAAGGTTTGATGAAATGCTAAAGAGCCACTGCCCTGAAGGAAAGAGCCCAGTCCTGGCAGGATTTATCACCTGCTGACTGAAGAGCCCATAGGCCCCGAAGAACCAGCAGCAGTACCCAGGGAGTACACCATGGGCCTCGGGTGAGACTCTGACATGTGCTGGTTTTAGGGAGCCACTGAGCCACAGCAGGGTAGACCACCAAATGGGCTCTCCGGGTCTCTGATTTCAGGTCTTGGCTCTTGAATGACATTTGTGGGCCTGCCCTGGGTCAAAGGGAGCCCACTGCCCTGAAGGGTGAGTCCCAGGCCTGGTGGTATTCACTACAAGCTGACTGAAGGGCCCTTGGGTGCTAGGCAGACATGGGCAGCAGCCTGGCCGTACTCTCTGTGTCCCTGTGGTGGTGGTGAACATGAGGAGAGACTCCACTACCTGTGGAAAGAGGAGACAAGAGTCAGAAGGACTTTTTTGTGAGGTTTGGGTGCCAGCTCAGCTGCAGTAAAATGGAGCACCAGGTACATTTGTAAGGTTTCTTACTCCAGGCCCTGGCTGCTCTATGGCATCTCTGGACCTTCCTAGGTCCTGGAAGAACCTGCCACCCTGAAAGAAAGGACAGAAGCTTGGTTGGCTTTGCCACCTGCTGATTCCTAGGGCCTTGAGTGAAAATAGCAAACAAGGTACCCAAGTGGTGGTTAATATAGGCCTTGGGTGGGACCCCGTGATGCGTGGCTTCAGATCAACATTGGTGGGCTGGACAAGATCTGCAAGAAGTGTCTGGATGAACAGGCAGAGAATCTTGTCCTCTTTTCTCACTTTGTTCCAAACAGTCTCTTTCTCTCTGCTGAGCTGTCTAAAGCTGGGGAAGGGGCAACACAAGTATCCCTCTGGCTGCCACTCCTGGGACTGTACTGAGTCAGATCTGAAGCCAGCGCATCACTGTGATGCTGGGACATCCCTTCCCATGCAGCTTAGCGCTTGTGGTTCGTTCTTAGTTTCCAAACGCTCCACGTGCTCTGTGTTGATGTGTCTCATCTTCTCATCTAGATTGTCTGAGCATCACCAAGCATCCCACATGCCAGTCATGTCACCTTTGACACTTAATTACTCTGAATCTCTCTTTCCTTGAAATAAAGAGAAAAGCAACCATCCCTCTCACCTTCCCAAACTGTTGTAAGAAAAAAAATGAATAGTAGAACTGTGGTATTTTAGCATTGAAAGAAAACTCAATAATATCCAATCACTCAATTTCCAGGTGGTGAAAGAGGATTCTGAGAAGCTCAAAGAGTTCCTTTCCCCAACTACGGAGCTAGCAATGGTAACTAAAGCTATCTTAAACTTACTGTAGCTATACTTAGGTGGTGATTCACTTATGGAGCATTTTTTCGTAATTAATTTAATCATTGTTCATTCACAAATAAGCCCCTGCTCCATGCCTGGCCTGTGCTAGGCAGGGGGATGAAGATCGACACCAAGCTCCATCCTCTCGGAGCTGTGGCGTCTCAAGGGGGAGTGGCATGAGGCCCTAATACAAGAGTGAGAGACACAGCAGTGCTGGGGAGCACACAGCAGGGGCTGGGGCCAGGGAAGGTCTCAGACAGATGAGTTCAGTGAGAGCCCTGGGCTACAGACAGGAGACTTTTAGATGAAATGGCAACCACATTCAAATAGTACCTGTGGTTTTCAACCCCAATGTCGGGCTGTCTCTGCATCGATATCATGCAAACTAAACACAGAGGGATCGGGGGAGGATTCCTGGTGTTCCCCAGGCTGAGAGGGCTCAGATCTTGGAATGACTCTGGGAAGGAAGGTAGCTCAGGGCAGTGGTTGGGACACAGATGGGCCAGGCTGCCCAGGCCCATGTCCTGGCTGACTCCTTTCTAGCTGTGTGGCATGAATAATCACGACAACCTTGCTGTATCTCATTTTCTCATCTGCAAATGGGTAGAATAGGGCAGCTACAAGCACTGAATGGGGTGAAATTTCCAAAGGCTTAGACCATGGCCTGGTATGTAGCAAGTACAGCAAGAGTATTGGATGATGAACACTTGTGCCCCCATTGGTGAGAGAGGAATGCTTATTTCATGCCGGAGTTGACATCGACATTTTAAGGAAGAAAGTGGAATCTAAGAGGAGGATCAGAGGAAGCACTAGGTTTGGATGGAGGATGAGGAAGCGAGAGGGCAGCTGTGTCAGGAGGAGCGGAGACATGGGAAGTTCAGAGCTGGCCTGAAGTCCTGACGGGAGAGCCGTGGGTTGGGCCGCATACTGCTGTCTCGCCTCTGGCTTGGGGGGACCAGAGGCCCTGGCACACTTCACATTGGGGATTCTTTCCTCCTGGGCTTCATGTGCTGTTCAGATGCAGCAGGAGCTGCCCGGGAATGTCCAGTTCATTTCGTCCCACTCGGCTCTGGGGGAGGGGCCTGCCACAGAACGTCAGTGGAGACTTGTCTACAGCTGGGTTTTTGGTTTTAAATCTGTTTTCTAACTTATTTTAACTTCCAGATGAAAAGTGGTATTTTGCCAGATGGGGGCAGGCTCGGTTTTGTGGCCGAGGCCTGCCAGGTTGTGACCTGCTCTGAGAGAAGAGTGGACTCGATCCTGGCCTGGCCGTCACATGGAGCCGCCTGCAGTGTTTCCAGGTGCTCAAGCCCAGATGGCAGGCTGAGCTGGCTGCCCTGGGGTTGGGGTTCCCAGGTGCCCCAGTGAAGGACGCAGAGCTCCACCCTGCTGAACTCACACAGCGTTTGGAGCCAGGCCCCTGACTCAGAGACCAGGGGGAGAGATTGAAGAGGAGCCTAGACCTGTCCTAAAGGAGGGCAGCTGATCAGCTGATCCCGTGAGGAGAGCAGGATCACGGCTGAAGACCCTGGAGAAGCAACTGCTGCTGAGGGGGCGTTCGCACCACCTGTGGTGTGTTCACAAAAGGTGGCCTTGTGAAATGTGCTTTCATTTATTTATTTTTTTTTAATTATACTTTAAGTTGTGGGGTACATGTGCTGATTGTGCAGGAAGTTACACAGGTATACATGTGCCATGGTGGTTTGCTGCATCCATCTCCTGGTCCTCTACATTAGGTATTTCTCCTCCCCAATCTCCCCACGCACTGCTATCCCTCCCCCAGCCACCCCCCCCGCCCCCGCCGCCACAGGCACTGGTGTGTCATGTTCCCCTCCCTGTGTCCATGTGTTCTCATTGTTCAACCCCACTTATGAATGAGAACATGCAGTGTTTGGTTTCCTGTTCTTGTGTCAGTTTGCTGAGAATGATGGTTTCCAACCTTATCCATGAATTTTGGGTTTTCACATAAAAAATATAACAAAAATTTTTTTTTTCTTTTTTTGAAATGAAGTCTCGCTCTGTTGCCCAGGTTGGAGTGCAGTGGTGCAATCTTGGCTCACCGCAACCTCCATCTTCCAGGTTCAAGTGATTCTCCTGCCTCAGCCTCCTGAGTAGCCAGGATCACAGATGTGCACCACCATGCCTGGATAATTTTTTTGTATTTTTAATACAGACAGGTTTCACCATGTTGGTCTGGCTGATCTCGAGCTCCTGATCTCATGATCTGCCTGCCTCAGGCTCCCAAAATCCTGGGATTAAAGGTGTGGGCCACTGTACCTGGCCAACAACATTTTTAAAAGTCAAAAGATATAAGAATTTGAAGATACACCTCAGCTGTATTCTTTGCTCCTACCAGCTGCAGAGATAGCCCATCATTAACAGAGTTAGCAGTGAGGAAGGCCACGTTTTGGTGATCTCTGCGACAGCTGAAGCCCTGGTTTCCTGGAGATGTCACCACCTACGAGCACAGGAGGGGTAAATAGGCTCAGCAAACAGAGGAGGCGATGTGCCTGCTAATCGGTTCACCTGCATTCCGCCAGGAAATAAGCCATCTACAAAAATGTGACATGAAAGGAACAACAAATGCCATGACAAGCACCAAATGACAGCCAGACCAGAAGCAGGTCATCTCCTCCCTCAGAACTGCCCACAGCTTGGTGGGATTTGCCCATGATGCTCAGCCAGCTCCTGCTTGTGGAGGCCCCCCTGATGACCTGTGTGGGCAGCTCACCTGGGGCATCCCCGCCAGGATTCCACACATTGTCAAGGCAAGGAAGAGCCCTGGGTTCTCTGCTGTGACACAGGTGTGGACCCAGCACACTTCGTGTGTGTGTGGGCAAATTTATAAAGATGGACAAGGCAATATTTGAATTTTTTAAGTTACTTACAAATATTTTAAATTTTAACTTTTCATGTTTTTTTCATAACATGAGACATAAAAATTAGAAGCATAAAAATAAACTTTGGGAGGCGGGGAAGACACTCTCGGTGACATCACGGATAATGTGACCACTATGTAAATGAGGCAGCCACTATGTAAATGAGGCAGCGCAGGCGCTGTTGCCTTACCACCAGCTCCTTCCCCACGAAAGAGTTCCCTGCAGTGGGAGCTAGTCCAGGACTGTTGGTCGGACTTGAGAGTCCCAGCTGTGTGTCAGAGCTAGGACGGCTCCAGGCTGGGGGTGTGGGTGCATGGGCCAAGTCACCCTGTGTGTAAAGGGCGAGGCGTATGAGGCTGTGTCAGGCAGAGGCACATGGACGTGTGCTTGTCTGGGGGGTGGGGACAAGATGGTTTTGAGGTTGGTTTTTCTCAGGTTGCCGGCTTTTCCTTTGTACTTGGGATATGCTGACCCCTGGGGTTTCCCCAAAAGTGGAAAACTTGACTGCATAATCAGTGGTAGCAAGTGACTTCGTTCATGTTTTCACTTGTGTCTTTATAATGTGAAACTTGTGTCTTTATAATGTGAAAACCAGAGGGCGATACAAAGGGTTGACAGTTTCTGTGGGTTGGTACCTTGCATGGCGTCATAAGTCATTGTTATGGCTGCAAATATGGGATGTAGAAAGTAATGATTTCTTACCGTTCTTGTTACCATTCTTGCTGCCGCTCTTGTGAGTTTCTTTAACAGAAGCCAAGTGGTTGCAGAGCTCTTCTCTTCCTTTTGTAAGTGAAGTTCATTTTTGCAGTCATTGCTTCATGGTCTCCAGTCTCTCGGGTTCTCACACTCTGTGAAAACCTTTTGTTTTCTCATATGCCCGAGAATCACCCTTCACATAGCCTCTGCTTCTAACTGCAGCCCCCATGAGAGTGTAGGATTTCTGTGCTAGCAAGGAATGTGTTCTCACCTCATAGAGCCAGGTAGAAACTGTACATAGACGGGCTCTTTAGGATGAAAACAAAGCCTTAGGGGCTCTTAGCGTTCCTGTTGGCTTGTGGACGTAACACACTTACTTTGTGGGGTTGTGGACGTAACACGATTACTTTGTGGAGGTGAACGGTTCTCCCAGCGCCCAGGTGCCCTTGTGAATATTCACGCGGAGACCCTCAAGTCAGAACCGCAGTCTCGCCTGGCGGCAGAATGCACTGTCATCTACCCCAACTACCCGAACTACTCAGCAATAAAATGAGAAACATTACAGAAACATGAGATGGCATGAATAATCTCAAAAACATGCTGAGTGATGAAGCGTGCATCCTGTGTGGCTCCATCAAGGTGCATTTCTATAACAGGTGAAACTAACCTGTATAGTGGCAGAAACCACATCCATCACTGATTGCTGGGGTCAAGGAGTTGGTGGGGGACTGACTGCAAAGGGCCCAAAAGGACCTTGGAGTAATAGCTACGTCATCAAACTTGAAATGGATGTATTGTATCATATTCAACTCACACCTTAATCAACTTGATTGTAAAAAGTCATAAGAAAACCCTCCAAATCGTAATATCTTCAACTTAATTTAGAGCATGTGGATTCCTTTAGAAAAGTGTCTAAAGGAAGGAGTTCAGGAATTCCTTCATTTGTTTCTTTTTCTTTGTCTGCAGTTAAGTTTGTGCTCTGTGAAATGGAATATTTATAAAGTAAAAATAAAATTTAAGCTTAATTTTATTTAATTTTTATTTAATTATTTTATTTATTTAATTTTTTTATTATTTTATTTTTTCATATATATTATATATGTACATAAACACACATACATATATATTCTTCTTTATCATTTTTTCTTCTGTGCAGCCTGGAGAGTACAGTCTAGTTAAAATATACATTCTTCTCTCTGTAGATATACCACAAGACCACAATGCCAATGTTGCCTGAATGTTATGAAAAGTTATTTTTGAACTTAAGGTGATCAAAAATTTAACATGTGTACATTTTCTGTACTGTTAGTATAGTCTATGCCTAGCATGTATAGTTTAAAAAAATACAATAGCTTAAAATGATTTGGAATAAAAATATGTACATAGGTTAACAGTAATTAATTCCAGGTGGTCTGAATATGGATGGCC